CAATGTGTTATGAAACTGTGTCTCTTTTGAAGAAAAACGACATGTGAAACAGGTTTCATTTTTGTTTTTGCTTTTAAGAAGAATATAACAGAGGAAGAATGACAAATAGTGTTTGAAATTTCTTCATGTTGTGACAGAATTTTAGCTAGTAAAAGCTCGTGAATTTCATCATGTGTGGACCTCAGTATGTAAACAAACAAGTCATCTTCTGAAAACTGAAATTTCCTCTTGGATTACCACACTTTTATCCATGGTTAAAACTAATATTCCCTTCTTTTATGGCCAACGGGGTGTATTTCTAATGGAACGATGACAGAACAATTCTTAATGGTTAACTATCGATACGATTAAAAGTAAAACTAGATTTGATAACAAATACACGTACATATAACAGAAAACATTCAAAATAATGTAGTTAATATTTATCACATGCTTTGACTAAAGCAAAACGTAAGAAAACGATTCACGTTTCCAAGAATAAATATTCAAAGCAAAAAGAACAGCTCAATCATTCGAGAATTATCACGAAGTCTTGCATTTTCGAAAACGTTTTCGTCAGTGCTTAATTTCTTCCGCATCTAAGAGCCATAACGTGTTTTGGATTTTTTTCAAAGCTAATGGTGAAAACACTATGATTAATCTTAAGACTGCCTGCCAACTGAATTACAACCTTCCTGCCCTACCACAAATAATAGCCTCAATATCGTTTAAAATGCTATATTCCAAAACTTAAGTCACACCCTTTTAATAGGAGAACTGATACTTTTTTTTCTCTCTAGAATATATTAAAATAAAACAAGAAAAACATATTTAGAAAACACGAAGATTGAGTGTTGACATCAAAGTTGATATTGGAAACCTTCTCACGACGTTTCGGCTTCCTTCTGGAATATCATTTTGTTAAAGAAAATATTGAGGAAATATACTCAAAATTCTTCAGATGGTGTAATAAAAGGTGAAAAGACTAGGAAAAATAATCCACATTGAACAAAAGAGTGACAAATTTTAACCATTAGTTGAATTTATACTTTTTACTTCTTTCTAGTGACCCCGCATGGCCAGGTAGTTAGGGCGCTCGACTCGCACTCTGAGAGTCGCGGGTTCGAATCCCCGTCACACCAAAATGCTCTCCATTTGAGCGTTATAATGTGACGATCAATCCCACTATTCGTTGGTAAAAGAGTAGTCCAAGAGTTGGCGGTGTGTGGTGATGACTAGCTGCCTTCTCTTAGGAACGGCTAGCGCAGATAGCCTTCGTGTAGCTTTGCGCGAAATTCAAAACAAACAAACTTCTTTCCAGAATAAATTTGAAATATGTAAATATAAATTTCAAATAATATTTCAGATTCTATAAAATTACAAGTTTTTTCTGAAATTTCGTCTTTTTATATTTTTGTTGATCTCATTATAAATATCCTAGGCTGAAACTATCAAAAACTTTCGCTTCTATTGTTTATTTCACAGATATTAATAACAATTTCCATGTTTCACTTGTGTACTTAAAATGTACTGGTATGTGAACAACAACTTAAAGCAGATATAAGCAGTATTACAGTTATAAATGCATTTTTGATTGGCAAACTTTTTAAAATCTTTATTTTATTTGATAAACATGATTAAATGACCCAATTTATTTATTTACATATTTTCTTAGTTTAGTATGGGAAATTACATCACTGTCAAAAAGTCAATTAAAAGTAATGTAATACTTCAATCCAGTGTTTTCCAAACTGGGGTCCACAAAACTGTCTCAGGGAGCCTCAGAAATATTTTCTTTAAACATTTTCTGATAACGAGAAGAACAATATCAACGATAATTTTATTCATTGCAAAAAAAAGGACTATACAACATTGTTTATGTTTGAGATTTTTTTTTTCAAACAGTAAATGCAATGAAAATAAGGTACATCACAGAGGCCAATTATTTTTAAAATATTTCTATTAATTCATTAGGTTGGGGACCTCAGGCTGTAAAAATTGGGAACCCTTGTTTTAAACGAAGTCTAAACCCAATACATGTTTATTTATTGTTTAATTGGATTTCAGTAGCAAAATATTACGTATATATTATAATATGGTGTATCTGTTCAAAATGTAAATCGATGGATTCACAGTATGAGTCGCAATATGCCGCTGAACACGCTTCACACTTTCAGTTGTGGAGGTGTTACTATTGTGATTGTCAATCTTGTTGGATTCACAGTATGAGTCGCAATATGCCGCTGAACACGCTTCACACTTTCAGTTGTGGAGGTGTTAACAAGATTGACAATCACAATAGTATTCGATTAAGAGTAGCCGCATAGGCGGTGGTGCTTCTGCCAGGCTGCTCTCTTTCGATAAACAGTTCTATATGCTGTTTGGCCCATGTGTTGCACAACAGACAATTTAAATTGATATATAAAACTTGTGTTATTAGCATATAGATATGCGAAGAAACAACCTTTTTACGGATATATATATATATATACCAAACTTATAACTATTCATCCAGAATATAGGAAAATTCAGGGCTTAAAATTTAAACGATTTTGGAACCTCATCACTTCGATACATGCAGTTCATCTCATCACCACGTTCGATCATGCGCTATCGGATGCTCGTGTGTCTTGACAATAGCCATGCAGCGTAGTTTCTATTGCAAAATTCTTCGTCGTGAGTATTTCATGTCCAAAACACACCATTTCTCCTTGCATATTTTTCATAATCCATCTGGAATACGAGGACGACAGTTTCACAGAACTCGTTTCAATGGTCTGGTCGCACAGAAATCTACAAATGCTATGTTCAGCGACTTGACCGGTATATCTTCGTGTAGAATAGCATAAATATCTGTTTCATTTCCAGCTGCATAAGGAATGCTACAGTTCAACGGATATGTCGTGGATCCCTTTTGCTTATGTTGCATGCTATTGCCTGAAGCAAGTGGACAGTTTTTGGTAATGATCTTTATGTTCATGAATTTTCGCTTGTTGCGAGACATCGCACTTTGCTTATCATGGCTTGGGTATGACTTGTTGTACTTCTTTCTCAAGCTAGTCCTGGCGGCCCAAGTTGATTCATATACCTTTGTTTCCCAATGCTATTAAGTACAAGTGATATCCCCGTTTTGTAAATTCTAAATCCCTATCTGAATAAATCTTTATGGTCTGTATGTATGAAGCTTTTTGTGTAGGAAAGGAATGTTACTTACCTTTCCCAAAACTTATCAATTTTCAGTGACATAACACTAACTACAAAACATCAAACAATTTTAAAATCTAGTTCTTTTACATGCTGTTACACTGCAAATTGATATAGACTGTGGTTGTCACGTGACTTGCTGATATGCATGTTCAAAATTATTTTAGTATACCGTACTTAACTCTCGGTATACGTAAAATAGTTTCAAAACAACACTAGAAATATGCCAAGAAACAGCCTTTTACAGATATATTCATTAGACTGTGTTTCTGTATTTATTTTTCTTTTCTAAGTATGGCCATGTATGAAGTTTTCTTGTGTTATGACACCTGGTTAAGTCTGTTTTAGTTACCATTTATTTTGTTATTTCTCAAAAATTAGAAAAAATATTTTCAATTAAAAGAAATACAAATATTAAGATAATTGTTTGCGTTTTATTGAAATTTTGTACCATTTTACGTTATATTATGTCAATGAAATAATATTATGTTATTTTAATATTATAGGGTTTACGCTGGATAACATTTGTGATAACATCTTTTGTTATTACTTTATTTCTTAACAAGTTTCACTTGCTCGTTTAACTAGTAATAAAATTACTTCCAATGCATACAAATTAGCTCAAATTATTTTGATATTTTATTGAAAATAACAAATAGAAAAAAGTGTTCAAACTGGTTAAGCAAAAGAAAAAGACACAGATCCTAAACCGTTATCAACTCTGTGCATCCTCAAAATGATTTGACTATTGAGTAAAATCCAACAAACATTAACATAGATAAATTACGTGGTCGGAGATTACTGCATGTACCGTGAATAGAGTGTGAAATAGAAAAAGTATTGTTAATTTATTAAGTTAAAGTGCTTTGGAGATTAAAATATATTAGATCAAAAGGTCTGAACATATTTAGGATTCTTGTAATTGGATGTGAAATATGAAATAAAGACCAGGTCAGAGACTCCTAAAGTTCAGGCATAACTTCTGGTTATAAATTGGCAATTTTTGTAACATATGTATATGAAAATATGCCTAAAATCTAAAGAGCAATAAACTGTTTTGTAAGTTAAGTTTCTATAAAAATATCCATACAAAATACAGCCAGACAATAATAAAATTCATAAATATAGGCAAAAGCTTTCTATTACGCTTTATTTGTAGACAAAATTTTCAAGTATTTCCTCCTAATATCTAAAGATTATGCTCGGTTTTATTCTTCATTTGTGTTTTGTTGTTCAAACTGATCTAATACATAGAATCTAATATCTAAAGATTATGTTCGGTTTTATTCTTCAACTGTGTATTGTCGTTCAAACTAATCTAATACATTAAAGCAAATATCTAAAGATTATGTTCGGTTTTATTCTTCAGTTGTGTTTTGTCGTTCAAACTGATCTAATACAATGAAGTATATAGAAAAAAAATCCAAATTCTTTCGTACAGTACTGAAAAATTGTAGTACTTCATTCAAAACTACATTATAGAAAAAAAAATTCTTCTAAAATGTCACTTTCTAACTGTTTCTAAAATGTATCATTTATTACAAATATGAGTAAAACATAAAAATTTGCTGATTGTATTTTACAACTAATATGTCAGCAATAATATAGTAATATTTGAAAGAAGAAAACATATTACAAGCTCAGCTTATTATGTAAATAATAAATAAATCATAAATATTTGACACTACAGTTATGACACATGCAGGTGTCTGCAAGAAGAGTCCCATTAAGACGTGTATATTTACTTTAATACTAATAAAATACACATACAAATAGATGATGACAAATTGTTATTTATTTATTTATTTATTTTAGTTCTATATTACAATCACGTATAAAAAGTTTTATTGTTCACCTCATATTATTAGAACTCATATAGAAATAAAATATATATATCCCAGTTTTGCAGCATATCATATCTAATAATTAATCATCCTAATAGACAGAAGTAATCAAATATATGGAAATGGAATTGAAAAATTATTAAGATATGTACAGGTTTTTACAAAAATGTGATGACTCCGAAACTTACATAAAAAAAGCATAATCCGTATAAGGAATCTAAACTATCAGTGTTAGTCGAACTAGAGAACAACTAAAGCTTTACGTCTGAAAATGTCTGTAATGCAGCTCTTCTTCATATTAAAACAGTAGTCTGTTTTCACGCAAGTAATAATAATAATCACAGAATAATTGTCTGGAACATCAACTTTTTTTTTCTCTTTTAGTTATACACTCAGCTGATACTTCTAAAACTAATTTAAATGGCACCATAGTAATTACAGCAACGAGTGATGGCACGTTTTATAATAACTTCATTAATATAAAATTACGAATTCAAACCTGTTAAAGATTATGCAACGAATTACTAACGAAACAAATATATTATCACAGGTTGTTTGAGTCACATTCAGAACGGAATTTCCCAAAAATTCCAACATCTTTTAGTATACTCCTGTTCTTCAGTAAATATTACAACTTTTGTTCAGAGCTCATCTTTACAGACCTCTCCAAAATAGTAAAGTTATTCCAAGGGCCTCTAATCGAATCATTGTCGAAGATAGCAGCTGGTTAATCCTTCTTTGTTTTTGAATTTGATTGTTTTGCTTTTCACTATCTCTCATTTCACCTTAGGAATGTGGCGCTTCATGTGCAAAGCTAGATGATCCGACCGTGCAAATGATCGCTCACATACTTTACACTTAAAAGGTTTTGCACCGGTGTGCTTTCTATAATGGCGAGTGAGCTCATCAGAACGTGCGAAACGCCATTGACACTCCGACCATTGACACTTGTAAGGTTTCTCTCCTGAAAATGATAAAAAAATATTGAAAGATTAGTTTTGCTGCAATAGCTATTTAGATTTTAAAAAGGGGGAATACTTACTTCGTGTAGTTGTTTAATCTTCGTAGTGCTATTCGTATTTAATGCGGTGTCATAAGTTCTGTATGATGTAAACTAATGCAGAAAGCGTCACAAGTTCTTCATGTTAGAATGTATATACATATATCTAAGCTACCTTGCTTTACATTTCATGTTTTTATAAAGCTCTGAAACCTTTCATCTATTTTGTCGACACTACCAACGTTATTAAGAACAGGAATTTTAAAAAGAATACCTTCTTTCTATTTGTAATTTTAGAAAATTGTCTGCAAAATGAAAAGTTCTCATGAACTTCATGAAGTTTAGTTTATAAATATTTCAAAAAAGTGTACTAATTCATTTTTAGATAATTAGGAATCACTAGTGTCAAACCGTTCATGTTTTGTGTTATTTGTTAAATTGTTTTTCAGAGTTCTATACAACTTATTTTTAAAGGTTATTAATCATAATTATGTGTGGAAACATATGAAACAAACCAAAAATATAAAATTGCACTGTTAAAGAATCTTTTAGATAATTTAAATCGTTTATTTTCAGTTCATTAAAGATGATGGTATCAACGATTAATAATAGGTATGCAAACTACGGTTTATAAGCACACTGAAAAGTTTTAGTGATGTTAGACTATATAAAGAAGAAGATCACAGGAATGCTCGATTTTGCAAAATATGTTGGTATTTTCTATCCGAATAAGGGGGAGTTTAGTTCCGGTAAGGACCTATTTATTCATCAATTTTTATAATGAAGGGTGAACACGGAAATATTCTACGGGTAACCTAAACGCTTACTCCAAATTGGTTTGTCGACCACCTACCGAGAGATAAATGAATGTTTACTCCCCGTCGGGTTTACTTTTTACAAAATCAACTTTTGACACGTACTTTTTCAGTAACAATGGCGGTACCTCAAACTAAATGACGAAGATAGAAAACCCATCATAAATTTTGTATGTGTTACACAATGTCGATGTCCTTACTTCAAACGTCAGACGAGAGTCTAAGAGTCCAAAATATAATCTGACGTCTTAAATTAGTTTAACTCAGAGTTTCGATTTATAGATAACATTTATAAGAGACTTAGTACAAAAATATATGTTCAGCTAGAGCATAGTAACTAATTTAAGTGAAGCAAATAATACGGTTTTCAATAAACTGGTCACCAATAAATCACAGATTGTATAATGTTCTGTTTTACCAGACTTGCTTTAAAAATAGAATAAAATGCACAAAATGACAGATTCATCCGTAAATTCAAAGTTTAGCACATAAACTAAAAAAAAATTAATTTAATAAAGATATTGTACGAGCATAAAAAACCTAATATTTGCATTTTTCGAGATCGAACCCGGTATATCCCATACAAGGAGCTCTTCTATATATACTGTTAATCAGAACTTATGACTATCTGGCTCTCATGTTTCTTTCCTCACAAACAGGGTCGTGGAACGATCGCTAGCTCAGAGCTTCTTCTTTTTTTTTCTTTTTATTATTTTGCATGTGTGTGTGTAAGCCAATTTTGGTACCTCTTGTGGATGAACACAATACCTCTCATACTTGAGTGCTATCCATCTGACTACTTCTAACAAGGCACTTATTAACAAATCAGACGAGACGAGTAAAAATTCACTCAAAATCCAAGGTTATCAGTGAAGAAAAAAGCAAACACATTATCCGAAAAGCTACAAATGTTTTTACTTAAACTAGATATTTATTTGCGAAATCGAAATTTTTCTTTTTTGAATGGTCAAATAATCAGTCATATGAAAATCAAAAGGGAAAGTCACAAAATTAAATCAACACACATTTCACCATTTGTCTGCTAATCATGTACATTTTCACTTGTCTCAAAAATTGCTAACTTACCTGTATGTATTCGTTGATGGGCTTTAAGGTGAGAGCTTTTTGTATACACTTTAGTACAACCTACAAAAAAAATATAGTATTTATGAGGTTGACGAATTATCAACCATGAATAGAATCATTAAAAAACAAAGACAAACTCAACACTTAGTGAGGTGTTTTCATTCAAAATTAATACTGTAGCTACCCACCAAAAAACACCCCCTCAGTAGCTACAAACAAAAAATAAATCACTCCAAAAGATCAGTATAATGTTAAAGAAAATCTTCGAAGATTAACTGCCACCTTAATACATAGTCTTCATTATGCTGCTAAAACCTTTATGACGGAATGATTGCTAAAAACATAAAGGAAAAAGATGTTTGTTTGGAATTAAGCACAAAGCTACACAATGGGCGATCTGTGCTCTGCCCACCACGGGTATCGAAACCCGGTTTTTAGCGTTGTAAGTCCGCAGACATTCCGCTGTGCCCCTGGGGGGGGGGGCAAGAGAAAGATGTAATGATATGTTTGTAGCAAATTCGATTAGGGTATCTTGTGTAAGGTTACTGATACGCTGGGAATAGTAAAAATTCTACATGGTTTGTATTAATTTCCATCACTCGCAACGTAACTTGTTTAAAAAAATGGAAGTATAATTTTTAAGTAGTATATATAGTGTTTTAAGTAGTATATATAGTGTTTTAAGTAGTATATATAGTGTTTTTAAGTAGTATATATAGTGTTTTAAGTAGTATATATATAGTGTTTTAAGCAGTTTATATAAGTGTTTTTAAGTAGTATATATAGTGTTTTTAAGTAGTATATATA